AAAAAAAAAATAAAAAAAAAAAAAAAAAAAAAAACCAACCTGGCGATCCATATCCACGAGTCGATTGCGCGCATTTTTAAATAACGGAATCAATGATTCGACTTCTGCGAAAGCAGGCCCCGCCCCCGCTGTCGTAGGACTACTTATGGATTCTCCTCCCCCCACCGCAATCCTCAGAGCTCCACCGGCATCGCGTCCGCCATCGCCGCTATTTATACCTCCTCCGAGATTCGTTCCATCCAAATCATCGTCCACAATCTGTGGCAGAGAATCGCCGACCAATCCCGTGAAGAAGTCCTCTATGGAGAAAGACGAACCCTGCTGCCTCATGAATCCATGGCTCAGCTGTGCCTGCGCCATCATCTGCGTCATTCTGTGCGACCGTCACCTGGTGTGTGTGCGACACCGATTTCGAGGCGAAACACTTCTTCTCAGCCGACCAGATACCCCTCACCCATCTGCTGGTCCCACCAATCTAAACGTCAAACAATCCCTCTTCAACACATCAATCAATCAATCAATCAACAAATCAATCAATCAACAAATCAAGCAATCAACCAATCAAGCAAGCAAGCAAGCAATCAACAAATCAAGCAATCAACAAATCAAGCAAGCAATCAAGCAATCAAGCAATCACCCATAGCAGTCATCCTCTGCACCTCATCGCCTTCTTTTTCTTATTCTTCTGCGTCTGCTTCTTTTCTCTTCACAACGCACTTGGTCACAACGCACTCGATTACACCGCACTTGGTTACAACGCACTTGGTCACGATGTGCGCGAAATCAATTCCCTGTTCGGGGCAATCAGAAGCAGAAGCGGGAGAAGAAGAAGAGTCTAAGAAAACACCATAGCCAGCTTCGTCTTTGTCGTTGCCTTGTTCGGATTTAATCGGCTCATGGGCACACAAGCCTCTCTATGACACTGAGCGCATCCTTAATCTACGACTTTCCAGGGTGTCTGTGACCATAACGACAACCGCGCATGGACGTGTCTGACAGTCGTGTCATCCACAGCTGCGTCTAAACAGTCCCAGTGTGGTTGTGCTGTCAAATGTGAACGAAAGTCCATCCTACCAACCACTGGGAGGTAAGCCGTGCTTACCGCCTTCCTCAAGAGCGCGTCATCCACCTCTCCCCCGCCTAGGTGGACTCAATTCGTTCGACGAGCAATACCATCTCCCGCAAATGGCGGATTCGTTTCGGTAGATGACCGACACTTCCGCCCCGGGGCTAGGTCCCACTTACACGAATTAAGCGATATTGACCGTAGATCGCGAAGATCAACGGCCAAATTCTCGTAATCCGTGCAAGTGGGACCTTGCCCCAGATGTATGAAACCGTTCATGAACAGATCCTGCGTTCGAATCCCGTGGGAATCAGATCGGCCGCTCGCAGGGGGAGGGCCGCAGCAACTTGCGGCCGACTTGGAGTCCGGCCTCCGTATGGCCCCAAATACTCACACTACAGTAGCACTATATACAGCACCTGAGCGCTCGGTATGTCCCCAGGAGGAGCGTCACCGCGGGTCTGGTCCTTGGCCTCCTATTAAAAAAAAAAAAAAAAAAAAGGAAGGAGTTCCATAACCGGCAACAGGAACTCTGTCTCGCTGCCGCGTGTTAGGGGCCTCAGCCTCAACAGTATTTTCTTTTTTTTTCTTCTTCTTTTTTCTTTTTTTGGAGAATCAGAAACTTTTATTCGCAGCCCTAAGGCTGCGGTGTAGTGGGCTTCTACGTCTGTGTCAAGGGGCCTCCTTCCACACCACTCCACTTTAGAAATACTTGAGAAATTCACCGTTCCACACTGCACTGCACTTGACTTTCAGTTTTCCTAATCGTGATTAGGCTTCCCCCCTCTCCCGCGCCCGCCAAAAACGTCAAGTGCAGCTCAAGCGGCCCAGGCGAATTGGTGAATTTTTCAAGTCACCTCTCGGGTCACACTTGAGCCGCACTTCAAAACGGCACAAGTGAGGTGTAGTCGACGTCCTTTCCCGCTTCAGTTTTGGAGCCAACAGGCGAATCCGTGTAGCCAACAGCAGCCGCCACTTTCCCGCTTCAGTTTGGAGTGTGGAGTGGAGGGCAACGTCGAATGGAGACAGGCTCAAGTATATTTTAATGACGATTGCCCTGTGAGCGGGCTCAAGTGCGGCCCTTGAAAGTGAAGTGAAGTGGTGTGGAACGAGGCCCGAGGTGTCGCATTTTTGGCGAGGGGCGACCAGGATGCAAAGTGGGTTCTTAGGGCAGAAAAAAAATTGGGGGACCGGTCCTTGGCAAAATTGCGGACTGCCTACAGCTAGCTCTGGTAGAACCGGGACTTTTGGGAAAAGGAGGGACTGGTCCTCGGGTGCAAGTGGACCCCAAAAAGAAATGAGGGCAAAGGGCCTTCAGGCCCAGGCATTGAGGCCCGTCTTCTCAAAACAGCGAGGTCAGGCGCAACAGAACAGGCGTTTTGCAAGAGGCAATTGTCTACCGCGTGGGGGCGGGGAACGCAGCCCTAAGGTTTATTTGTCATAGAAAATGCACGCCCTCATCCAGGGACTCTAAAAATTTCAGATTTTTTTGCAGGTTCCTCCGAGCACAGAAAATCGCCAAAGGTGCCTCTTACAAAACGTTTGTTTTGTTGCACCCGACCACCCTGTTTTGAGAAGACGGGCCTCAACGCCTGGGCCTGAGGGCCCTTTTGCAGTTCACATACCCGCACTTTGTTTTGGGGTCTGCTTCCACCCGTGGACCCGTCCAACGCCCCCCACTTCTTTTCGGGGTCCACTTCCACCCGAGGACCGGTCCTTCCTTTTTCCATAAGTCCCTGTTCTACCACAGATAGTTGTAGGTACTCCGCAATTTTGGCAAGGACCGGTTCCCCAAATTTTTTCGCCCCTTATGAACCCACTTTGCCTCCCAGTTGCCCGCCGCAAAAAATGCGACACCTTGACACAGACGCAGAACCCCAGTAGACCGCAGCCTTAGGGCTGCGAACTTTGGCGATTTTCAGTGCTCAGAGGAATCCGCAAAAAAAATCTGAAATTTTGAGAATTCATAGACGATGTCGTGTTCTATCCAGGAAAAATATTAGAACATTTTCAAAAAAAATCAGTCAGGCCGCGAAATAATTATCTCGCTGATTCGACACATTTTCCATTTTTGTCACTCAGTCATGTGTGGGCCAACTAAAAAAGTACTAAAAATCCAGTCAGTTTTCGCACTCATAAGAACGCGTGAAAAAACATGAAAATTGAAGTACCCGTAAATTTTGTTGTGATCTTTCCAGGACAAATGCTAAATAAATTCTAAAAATTTATTCCAACTGTGAAATAGATCGTGGCTGCAATTTGACCCATATTTCAATTCCGCCATTCAACCTCTCTCTCTCTCTCTCTCTCTCTCTCTCTCTCTCTCTCTCTCTCTCTCTCTCTCTCTCTCTCTCTCTCTCTCTCTCGCGCGCGCGCGCGTGCGCGCGCGCTCTTAGTCTCATTGCTTTGGCTACCTTAGGGCTGCGTTCCCCGCGCCCACGCGATAGACAATTACAAAATCGAAGGTCCGGGGACGGGAATACCCCACAAACAAGCCGTAATAAAAACGTTGGGTCGTTACCTAGTTTAGGCTCTTGGACTCGATAGCTGAGAAAGGTACCTTTCTCAACTACCGAGTTCGACACTAGAGCTACCAAGAGGCCAAGCCTTGTCGAGCCTAGAGTTACCGGTAGCACCACAAGGTTTCTTTTTCTGCAATTACAAAATAAGAAAACTTGAGAAAAAAAAAGTATCGTTCGACACCACTAGAAATATAAAGGGTATTTACAAAATGATCGTTCCACCACACGCTAATGACGAAAAAGACARACTCCAGAATGTTTTCACATTTTTTACTTTCAGGGTCCGCCCCTTAAAAATAAGTGTGGCCCAGGCAAAACGACAAAAATTCTAGGGAGCCCCCGGACGCGACTTGAAATGTAAGGGTGGGACCCTACGGATTGCCCGACAGACAAAGGACCTGACACTCGGCCCACCTCAC